CAGCTGCTGGCAGAAGCCCATCCACCCCACCCCCCACCCCAGCCTGCCTGTCCTCCACGGAGCTGTCAGCCGCTTCTCTCTGCACACTCCTTCTCAGCGGGCCCATCGCCCGCGTACCCCATCCATGGCTCCCGCCCTCCCTCCCGCCACAATGCCTGGCCTTGGTATGTTTCTTTGCAATTTTCAAGTCACTTTTTCTCATGGCCACCTCTGCAAGGCCAGAACCACAACCCCCTCTTACAGGGGAGGACAGCACGGTGAAATGCCCAGCTGTCAGCAAAGGCACCCAGGAGTCTGGCTGAGTGAGAGCAGCGTGTCCGCCCTCTTTACTGGCGAGCTTGGCCCTGTGTCCTGCTCTGGCGCCATCCGAGCTTGGATCCTCACCCCCAGCTGACTCCTCCAGGGACTCCTCGCCTTCTCTCCTCCTGGCACTTCTAAAACACCAAGCCACTGGGGTTCGGATCCCTTTACAAACTTTCTCCAGCCACTCCGTCCTCCGTCCGGCTGGACCCTTCATCCTTCTCAGTGGCTAGAGGAACACAGGAGTCCACTAGGTCCCTGCCCCACCACCTACCTGCATCACAGGATCTCTAAAACACTCTCCCGCTATCGCTACCCAGCCACGCAGCGCTTCAGCCTCTGCCCAGGCAGCGCGTCCCGACTCCTTCAGACCCAGAGCCCTTCAGTGATTTCCCATGAGGCCTGAGTGCCCGGGCCTGGCTCTCTTCACAGGTTCTCTTCCCAGCTCTGCTCCTAACCTCCCTCCAACACTGACCTAGGTCGCAACCTTATCCACTGGGCCTCCTCAGAGTCTCCCCAGAATGGCTCAGACCTTCTGCTCATGCTGGTCTCCCCATCAGCACCCTTCCTGCCTTCTCTCAGCTCCTCACGGCGCCAGCCCTCCTTCCGGGCATGGCCCAAGTCCCCACACCTGACTCCTGGGCCCGGTTTCCTTCCCCGGCCTCCAGTTCCTCTCGCAGGTGAGGAGGTGATGCAGGTGACCATCGGGACAAGGAAGGAACAGACCCAGAAGCAGCCTGATCCTGCAGGACCTCCCCGACCCCCACCCCCACCCCCGGTGTGCTTCCCAGGCCTGCTTTTCCTACCTCTGAGCCGGCAAGCACCCAGCTATTGTCCGAATCTGGGCAGGAGGCCATAGTCGCTGAGGGCCTTGAGGCGGTCACCTGCAGAGAAGAGCTTCAGCAACCCTGCTCCCTCCCTCAGGGGAGGCGGGATGGAGGGAGCAGCCTTGGCTGGGCTCCCAGGTTTAACGACTGGGCAGCAGCTTCCAGAACCAGCCTGGTCCCAGCTCTTCTGGACAGGATTTGCCTTGCAAATCAGAACCTATGGACAGCCGAGGAGAAGCCTGCCTCTCCCAGGCTCCAACAGGGTCTTGGGAAACTGAACTGACCTTGAAAGGTCAATGAAGCAGAGGCCTGGAAAGGCTTTGGGGAATAACCCAGCCAAGTCGCTCATGCTGTGGTCAGGGCAGATGAAGGCCAAAAAGTGACTGATCTGATTTGCAAAGACAAACAGCTAAGACGAGTGAGGAAAACAGGCCAGCCCTCCCTTCACCTCCGCCAGACTCTCCCACAATCATTACCTTTTCTCCCAGGGCTGGAAAGAGAAAGCTCTAGAGCAGTGGTTCTCAACCTTCCTCAGGCCGCGACCCTTTAATACAGTTCCTCATGTTGTGGTGACCCCCAGCCATAAAATTATTTTCGTTGCTACTTCATAACTGTAATTTTGCTACTGTTATGAATCGTAATGTAAATATCTGATATGCAGGATATATTTTCATTGTTACAAATTGAACATAATTAAAGCATAGTGATTAATCACAAAAACAGTATGTAATTATATATGTGTTTTCCGATGGTCTTAGGCGACCCCTGTGAAAGGGTCGTTTGACCCCCAAAGGGGTCGCGACCCACAGGTTGAGAACCGCTGCTCTAGAGCCTCATTCAGCCCTAAGTCTCCCACTCACCCACCCACCATAGGCCAGTGTTGGGAATCCCTGGCCGGGTAGCTCAGTTGGTTAGAGCATCATCCTGATACACCAAGGTTGTGGGTTCCATCCCCAGTCAGGGCACATACAAGAAGCAAGCAATGAACATATAAATAAATGGAATAACAAACCAAGTTTCTCTCCCTCTCTCTTACATTAATAAATTAAAACAACACTGGCTGCACACTGGAATCACCTAAGATTCTGATCTGATTCAACTGATAACAGAGTCAGGTTCAGGCATTTAAAAAAAAATATATATATATATATATATATATATATATATATATATGTAATGTTTTTATTGATGGAAGAGAGAGAGAGAAACAATGAGAAGCATCCATCGGCTGCCTCCTGCACACCCACTGTGGGATCAAGCTGGCAACCCCAGCATGTACCCTGACTGGGAATTGAACTAGCGACCTGTCAGTGCATGGAGTGATACTCAACCACCTGAGCCACACCGGCCAGGGCAACATGGGCCTTTTTTAAAATCTCCCGGAAGATTCTCACCTACAGGCAGCGTTGAGACTAACGGGCATAGCTTAGATCCATCTGAATGTACCTTTAGTAAATCTTCTGTCATCCTCACTCTCCATTCTAAATTCTGTTCCCTTATTAGTAACCCCCAGTTTCATCTTAGGGAACTTGAAGGTGCCTGGGAAAAAGGCTTCATGGCCACTCTCATGTATAAAGACTTTACAGTTTGCAAAAATCAGGGCTGTGGTCCTACCCCTGCTGATCTCTCTGACTTAGCAGAGTGGGAGTAGGAAGTCCCCCCAGTTTCCAAAGTCTAAAACAAAGCCGGGTAAAAAGAGAGGGACCTATCCCTTCATCCAAAGCCCAGACTGTCCCCACAGGCTGGCCAGCTGCAACCGGAACTTGGCATAAAGGTGAAGGAAGAGAAAGGCTGACCCCTCCCCAGTCTTGACCTGTGACCCTTCAGAGGAGAATAAATAACTCCTTACTGAGGGGCTAGAACAGTGGCAAGTGGAAAAGGACTCTGAGGAAACCCTGGGGAGGAAAGGGAGGCTGGGGGAGACGGATGGCAGTCCTCCTCGGAAAGCCACCCGCTGCCCTGCCATCTGAGCAGGTGTAAGGTGCGCAGTGCCCTAACCACCTCCCGTGGCCCTCCAAGATCCAAGCCCAGGACAGACGTCTTCCCCAATGCCTATGCCTCCAGGCACACAAACCATCCCACCAGGAGACAGGAGAACGGCCGCCATGATACCAAGTCCAAAGCTACAGGCGTCCGCGAGCCACTGCTGTGCAGCCTCCGGCTCTCAGGCCCCTCCTCCGCTCTTCTGTCACCACTCCCCGTCCCCAGCTGCCGTGTGTGCCCGCTAACAGGTGGTGGCAGGAAGGAAGTGGCAGCAGCTTGGGCTGAAGTCCCTGTTTATCCCTGGCTGTGTCCGCCTGCTCAGGTCCTCCAGAACCAAGCACCATGGCAACGAGGGTGATGTCAGACCCACTGTCTCATGGAAACCAGCAACTGGTATTTGGGTCAACAAGACAAACACTTCTGAGACTCAAACAGGAGACCTTTCTGGGACCCCGGCACTCAGGGTTCTAAGCCCTGGCATCTCTCTTGGCTGGGTTCACCCAAGATTCCAAAAGATGCCCCTGTTCTCCAGGCCAGCATCTCACTGCCTTATTAGGAGGTTCCTTCTGCGGTCTAACTCCACCCTTCCCCTCGATGTTTTCAGATCTCTTTCTTACCATCCCCCCCCACCCCCTCCCTTTCCATTCAGGCAGGAGTCAACAAAACCGTCCTTTAAGGACTGGCAGAGACCTCTGCTATTGCTAAAAGACAGCTAAAGGGGGAGCTCTCCCGCTCTGTACAAAGCTGGGAAGCCTGGTCTAGCGCATTTCAACCCCTCCAAGCGTGGTTCCCCCAAACCTCTAGCAAAGGACCCAGGGCCACCAGTATTTGCTGGGGGACCCAGAGCAAGTTCCTGTTTTGGTCTCCATGGTCTTCCTTCTCCCCGTCCAGCAGTGACCAGCAGCTCTGGAGATCCCCGGCGGGGCCCACCCTTTGCGTTCCGCCTTCCTCTGCGCCGCCCTCCGTCCCACGCAGCCCTGCGGGCCCTCTCCCCGCCGGGCATTACCTGATGCGGCTTTCACTTCAGCCTTCCGCTGAACTTGGTGCAGCCTCCCCTGGTTCCCAGACCCAGAAGGGAGGGGAGTCATGTGATCAGGCACCGGCCAATGAGAAGTCAGTTTCCCCGAGGGGGCGGAAACTTTTGGCCAATAGGAGCTGGAGTTGAGAGCCGGGAGGCGGGGGACAACAGGGGGCCAGTACGGCCCAGAAAGCTGGGCTTACCTCCCGGAGGGAGGCTGGAATCCCAACAAACTGAATTGTGGGCAACCGCCCCTCCTCTCCCAGTGCCCAGTTATTAGGAGGAAGACCCAAAACTGAAAGGCGAAGGGTGGCGTCTCCGAGACCACAGGGGCAGGAGCCAGGTTGGTCCCAGGATAGACGCAGGCAGCTGCAGGGGGGGCGGGGGAGTGGCGAGTCGTGGGTTGGAAATAGCCCTCCGGCCGCCCTCCCCACTGGGCTCCTCTAAAAGGGGCGGGGCCTGAAAAGCACCCAAAGTATCTGCTGAGCCAGGTGTAGCCCGTTCCCCACCCTTGATGCTACACTGACTCCTCACCCCAACAACTGGGGTTGCAGGGTGGGCGCTAAACCCAGAAACGCTAAAGGCACTGGCTTCCCGAGGCCTCGGAGCGGAGCCGGAGCTTTCTCTTGGCTCGAGGCCCGGCCCAGGAATGTGCTCAGAAAAGAAACTTTCTCTTAGCGGGACGCAGGGCTGGGGTGGGGCACACAGGACTCTCCGCTCAGCTCAGCAGAACCAGGGTTCGCTCCAGGGCAGACCTTCCTGCCACCCCCACCCCCTGGGCCGCTCAAGGCATACATCCCCCAGTACCCTTCCCAGTGGTGACCACAGCTCATCCCAACCTTTGTGCACATAAACAGCAAGGAGTCCTTGTCTGGATTTTCACGTCGTTTTATTAATCCAACCGTACAAAAGACCCCTCCCCCCATCACATTTCTGCCACCCCTACTTTCTTCCAAACAATGGAATGAGGGACTAAGCAGATATTTCCCCAGGAGCCACTTTACAAAATGCTGAGATGGGGGGAGGCAGCACAAAAATAGCAACAGAGAAAAGAGGGGCAAACAGAACCACAAACACAACACAAAGTGGGGGGTGAGGGGGCTGCTCTCTGCGGCTTCAGAGTCAGGGGACACTGAGAGGCGGGCACAGAGGCCGCTGGCTCCACCTGGGCAGGCAGTGAGTTCTGCAGCAAACCTGTCTCCTCTGCACATGCTGGGGTCCAGGCGGCCACCAACTCCTCAGGCCCGCCTTCCCCACCCCCTGGGTCATGTGTGCAGGCCCCAGGTCCACCTCTGGCAGGCAGTGCTTTAAAAATAAAAACAAATAAAGCCCAAAACTACGGCCGAGAGGAATGACAACTGCTAGAACGCCAGGCCCGAGAAGATGCAACCAATAGCAGGGGAAAGAGAAGCAACACCCAGGCTCTGAACGGCACTTCAGGACCTCGGCAATGAGGGTTCCTGCTGCCTCCCCCCAACCACAGGCTGTGACGGGGATCCTTTTATCAGAAGAAATGAGGTATAAGGGCTCGGTGCCCTTTCAAGCTTTCCTTCAATCAAGCCAGGGAGGCGGGGGAATAAGGGCACCAGAAGTTGAAGACCAACGCGAATAATGTGCAACGGATGGGCAGGGCGGGGGAAGGCGGCACAACACCGAGTCCAGGCTTCCAGGACTGTCCAAACTTCAAATATTCTGGTCAGACCACATATCCCAATTTTTGGCAAAAAAATATGGTCATGAGGAGAAAAGCACAAGAGAAGCTGAGAAAGGACCAGTAACTTTGGTACCAGGGAGACCTGTCCCGACAGCATCTCTTACCTACTGTCTTGAAGCCCCAAATCACCAAGAAACTGCCGTGGCCAAGAACTCTCCTGTTTCTTCAAGCTATTTGGTTCTTTGAAGGGGGAAGAGTTAAGCAGGTTTTAGAGAAGGCAGGAGAGAGCAGGAAAAGAGGAAAATCCCTTTTTATTCCCCACAGCTCTCTCCCAGAGCCCAGGGAAGGGCTACTGCAGGGACGGGAAGAGACCCAAACTCCTCTGGCGAGAAACCTTTAACACGTGACTCCAAAAACTAAGGCTGCAGCTGCGGGGCTAGATAGGCGTGTTAGGCACAGGTGCTGGGGGCACCCATCATCTAGAGGGATCCCCCTGCCTTCCAGATCTTCCTCCAGCCTCTTTTCTCTTGCAGCCATACCCCTCGGCCTCCAGAAACATCCACCAAACCATGGCTCTGCTGGGCAGGCTTTGGTTTCCTGGATCTCTGTAGATCTCAGCGTGAAAGTTCCCAGAACTGTGAGCGATCCAGGCTCCTGCCTGTCCAACCTCAGTTCCTCTTCTGCCCTCAGGAGACACCGCACTTCTGCTCCGGGGGATGGAAAGCCAGTGGAAACAAAGGACCAAGAGCCAGACACGGAAACAGCCGCCCTGGGAGAGCAGGGAGGAAGGTACGCGCTTCCCTGGGTCACCGCGCCAGCATCACCCATCGTTGGCAGCCACCAGCTGTCCCATGCCCTCGCGGATGTACACAGACTGGATCTCCTTGGTCTTGAGGCAGAGGTCACAGGCCCAGACGGCAGAGGCCTCGGTGGTCAGCAGTCCATAGGCGCTCTCGGTCATGCCCGTGCACTCCCGGTGGAACCACTTCTGGCAGGAGGCCTCGCACAGAATGGCATCCTGGTCATCGTTCACCTCACTCCGACACGCACCACACGGATACACCAGGCCTGGAGGAGGCTGGGGCCCCGAGCCCCCACCTGCCTTGCCAGGGGGTGCCAGGCTGTTGGCATCTGGAGTGCCCCCACCCCGCCCACTGCTGTTTGGGGGGAAGCTGGGCTGACTCCCATTAACAGCAGCAGCTGGGGAGCCCGTGTGGGGCTCCTGGGGAAAAGCAGTGGGCGCGGGTGGATTCAGGGGCTTCCCCCCATCCTCCACACCAGGGCCAGGAAAGCCAGGGTCCGGACCAGGGAAGGGACTTGTGTTGGGGGGCAGGCTGGGGAGCCCCTGACCAGGTCTCTGAAGAGGAGAGGGGCCAAACGGCGCCCCTGGCTGGGCAAAGCGTTGGGGGAGAGGAGGGCCCAGCTCCCCTCGGGAAGGCTGTCCCATGGTGGGCGAGATCATGGGACCAAACCCCCCCACTGGGCCTGGCATCATCTGCCCACCAGGAGGGCTAAAGTTTTGACCCAGAGGCTGGTTGAAGGGTTGGCTGGAAAAGTTCATGTTGCCTGGGGGTGGGTAGCCAGGGCCCTGGGGGGGCATGCTGAAAGCAGGGCCCATAGCGTTGGGAGGGAAAGGGGGGTGTTGTCGACGAAGAGGCTGGGGACCCCCTCCACCTCCGGTGCCATAGCCTGGGGGTACTTGGCCTGCCATGCCCCCTTGCACACGGAAGCCTCCAAAGGGGACAGGACTGCCAAGGAATGGAGGGGCTGCGCCCCCCACCTTAGGGGCTCCGAAGTCATCCTCAAAGGGGTTGGATGCAACCAGGTGATCCACCATAGGAGTCGGGGGTGGCGCAAACTCCGTCAGATGTGAGTATGCAGGGCCCTGGTGGAACAGAGGAGGGAAAGGGGGTCATGGAGGGAAGCGCAGAGCTAAACCAGAACACCAGAAACACACTCCACGTTTTGGAGGCTGGCTCCAGCCAGCCCAGCTCTAAAAATCAAGACGGACCTTAGAATGCAACAGAGACGCAGAAGGCACAGCACACTGTGCCAACTGCATTTTGAAAACAGGCAGGACGAGGCTGGAATCCCAGCCCTGACACTGGAGAACCTCAAGACCCTGGAGCAAGTATTTAACTTTCTTAAGCCTCACACACCTCATCTGTACAACAACTTCCCACCTCCCCACGCTCACACTGCTGGAGCACTCCAGCACGAGCCCTGGCGCCCAGAGGGCAAGTGGCCGGTGTGAGGGCACCAGGACAGGAAAAATGGGAGGAGAGTCTGACCCTGGCTGATGGGATCTTCGGGCAAATCATCTCATCCTCCGCCCCTGACAAATGTGTTATGAAGCTGAAGGAAAGGACCAGACACAGAGCGAGAGAGAACTTTCTCTTCTCCCCGGACCGACCAGGACACAGACGTGGGAGTGACAGCGTGCAGGGCGGGGCCGCCGGGAGCCCTCCCGCCCACCAACCACCACGCACCTGAGTATTTGACTTCCTTCGCTTCTTTTCTGGGCTCTTCATTTGCAAACCTGGACAAGCAGCACAAGGCAAACACAAACAGGTTTCCCTGGGGCTCCCGGCCCCCCTTCTCCCAGCCGTGCTCGGCGGAACTCCCCAACTTCACATGCGCTTGCTTATTACCCAACAAGTAAACACTAACAAAGGTGTAACGTGAACAGTAAATCGTGTTCCCACTCTCGGCTGCTGCTTCCTTCACATGAGACGTCCTCTCTCTCGAAAGCCTCCGATTTCCAAGCGGCTCCGGAATTCCAAACCCTAGGGCCCTCGATCTGACACCTGCCCCGGCTCCTGGAGGGCTTCACCCCCCATCTTCTCAGGCCCCTCGGCCTGAGGACCCCCGTCTCCCCACCCGCCCAGCCTTTCTCCGAGGCCCCCACGTCCCGGGCTTCTCCAGCCCGCGGCCCTCCTCCGCGCTCTCACCGGCCTTGCCCTGCTTCCTCCCGGTGCTGGGCGGCGCGGGGGGCGGCGCGGGACCACCGCCTCCCTCCAGCTTGTCCGGTGGGGGCGGCGCCGAGGCGGCCATGGAGCGGGGGACCCGGGTCAGCGGCGGCGGGAGACGGACGCGCCCTCGGGTCGCACCATCGCCCGGAAAGGGTGTCGGGGGCAGCCCAGCCCCCGCGCGGCGGCCACCCAGAGGGCGGCGAGGGGCAGGCGCCGAGCCGGAGCGCCCACTCGCCTTCCTCCCGGCCTCCCAGCCCGCCCGCGGCCGCAGCCACCGGAACCGGAAGTCGGCCCGGCCGCCTCCTATGAGCCGGCTGGGGAGGCGGGGCCTGGGCTAGTCCCTCCCAGCGCGCCGCGGGGGGCGGGGGGGGCGCCGTACCACTGCTCCACCCGGGCGGGCAGGCGGGAGCGGCCGCCGCCCCTCCCACGACCGCCGCCGAAGGGCGCACGCCCGGGACCGCGGTGCCCACTGCAAACTCGCACGTCGCCCCGGACGGTGGTCCCCAAAGTGCCGCCCTGCCACCCTCCCGGCGCACCCGTGCTCGCGGGCGATCGCCAGCTCCAGCGAGGCCAGGCGGGTCTCGCCGCCCCGATTCTCCGCCACGGAGGGCCCCCGGCGAACTACAGGTAGCGACAGTGACAGACCGAGGTAGAAGAAATACGGACTTTAATGAAGATTCCTTCCCTTTGGTATGAGTGAGGCCGGTGCAAACAGCTGAACAAAAAGGAGGCGCAGGTCCAGACAGCCAGCTCTCCCTTGGGACGGGCTGGAGGCTTCTAAGTCGCAGCGGCCTTCCCAGAGTCGCCCTAGGTCTTCAGTAACTGCAGGTGTCAAGTCCCCCCACCCCACCCACCCTGAAACAGGCCGTTCAGCCGAACATCCCGGCAGCCGGCAGCCTCGGTGAGAGCTCCCCACGGACTTCTGACCTGGGTCTCCTAGAAAAGGCAATGCTGCCGACCCCAAATGCCGCACAGGCTGAGCTGAGGAAATGCCAGTAGTTGGAAAAGGGCTTTGAAAAGTCCAGGAGGTGATGTATAAATGTCATCGGTTACCAACCTTTTGTGCTCAAGAATAAGCCATAGTAAACAAATTAGGAAAGTAAATCTACAGCCCTAAAATATATGCATAAAAAACAAATGCAGATCCAAATCTACAGATGGTATTCAGGGATTGTCTACTGCTTTTGAGTCTCAATGCCCGTTCCTGCCTCCACAAAATCTACCTCGGAGAGCTAACAGTTCGGGAGCCCAAATTCAGTCATCACCCCACCACCCTCGCACAGGGAGGCAGCGTGGAGGCTGCGGAAGGGCTGCACTTTGGCTGTAGAATATAACATGCATGCAACATGGAAGGGGTGGGGTGAACAACATGTATATACAAACCCCTGGGGACAAAGGCCCCGGCCAGGAGGCACTGAGCAAAGAAGGGGTCCATCTCCCCCCTGGCCGGGAGGGGAGCTCTGAGGCAATCTGTAAAGGGGGCATATGCCCAGGGAGAGGGAACAGCTGCCACTCCTGCTTCTGTTCTCCCAACCTAAACTGGAGGGATGCTGAGCAAGGAGAAGACAGGGTCCCGGAAGCCAGGGGATCAGCACCCCTATCCTTGGCCTCAGGGGCCCAAGAACTCTGCATAAAATATCTTCAGAACTAGGAGATGGTCAAAGGCACAAAGTTTAAACACTGGGAAGGGAGGGCTGTTGAGAGGGGCTGGAGTACCCTGAGCCCAGGGGTAGACCAGAGGTGTGGTTTGTTGCTCGTTTCCTGGAAGGGCGACTGCCTGTCATCACAGGACGTTTTCCATTACGAGGCACACGGCCCAGGCCTTGAGCACCCACCTTCCTGAGGAAGGGGTTATCAGGTTGGCACAGGAAAGGCCCTGGGAAGGGGCCACTCTAGGTTAATACTTTGGTGAGGTTTGGGGAGAAGTAGGATTCTACCCCAGGCTCCTGACTCAAACCCTCTCCCTGAGCTGGATGCTAAACCCAGTGTCCACACTACCCCCAGCTCCTACACAAGGCCAAGCTCACAGAACACTCCAAAGTGAGGTCCTGAAGTCAGGGGATAGTGGACGGGTTGAAGGGAGTTTTCCGGCAAGCACCTGGGACGGATCACAATTTCCGTTCCACCGGCTGCTGTAGACACAGTTCGCTGCCCGCAGAGATGATGGGCAAGTGATTGTCCATGTGGTAACTGATGAGGTGACTGACGCTCTCGAAGCGGTGATCCTTTGTCCGAACCTGGGAAGGAAGAGAGTCCATTCAGGTGAAGAGTCAAACTAAGAACTCGGCCCCCGAGCCTGAAGAAGCTGCAATATTCAGGAAGGTTGAGGAGAAAAAGATGGCAGGGGTGGGAGGACTGTCCCTCCTGATCACTGATGCTTTTCTAGAAAAAGAAGTTAGAGAAGGTCAGGAATGGGAAGGCCGGGAACTGGGAAAAGGCCGAGAGGACATCAGAAATTAGGAGAGATACCTACTGCTCCCGTGACCGGGAGGAAGGCGGCAAGCCTCAGTGCAGAATACACAGCACAAAAAAGGATGGGAAAGGAGGCCGAGAGTGCTGTAGAAGAGAGACCAAGTTATGGGGGACGGGGGAGCAGCAGAAAGCAGGCAGCACCCTGGTCTGAGCCCCAAGTCGAGGAGGGAAGGAGCCCCTGGCTCCACTTGTAAGAGGAGACATGGAGTGTCTAGCCTGTAGCCATTGACACTGAGCACAACCTCTCCAGGATGGTTACCTCATTTGTCAAAAAGGGGGGGGGGGGGGGCTCAAGTGAGATAAGCACCTTCTAACTCCCCTGGGCGTAGTTTATAGTTTGCAGATTTGAGGACTGGCCAGGACTGAAGGGAACACAGCTCATGCTCAGGGATGTGAAGGGGAAAGAACCCTCAGCCGCTGGATGGGGAATGCCAGGCACGTTGAGAGCGGGGAGGACCACATAGGGGTGCCCCGCGGGGAAAATCTAGGAATAAGGGAAGGAATAGGGCTGCACAGGAGGGCCCCACCACCCATGCCCCTGCCACACTCACCACACCCTCAGGGTCCACCAGCAGCAGGTGCTTGGGCTGCCCGCTCTGCAGGCCAGTGAGCACGTACTGGCCAGGCGTGGTCGTGCTTTCCCGCACCAGGAAGTCCCCGTTGAGCTGCAGCAGGGCCTCAGCCTCCCGCCGGTTCAGCTTTCCATGGAACCAGGGCTCCCCTCGGAGCTGCTCAGCCATGGCCACTGACTGGGGAGGTGGAGGCACCCGAAGGGCATCTTCAAAAGGCTCTGGGGGTGCAGAGAGAGGACGAGGAGAGGCAGCTGGCACAACACGTGTCCAGGACCAGAACCCTCAGGGAAGGGAGGCCAGGAAGGAAAAAGCAGAAGAGGAACCAAGTAGAAAGGCAGGGTATGGAATGGAGAAGCACTCACTCATGTCAAAGAGGTCTCGGGGCGCACTGCCATTGACAGCAAGATTGGGGGGCCCAGCCCCGCCCCCTGCTTGCCGGGCCTTGTCCAGGTTCTGGATGTTGACGTAGGAGGGGTCATCAAAGAGCTCTCTGCCTGCTGAGGAAAGGGAGGTTTTCAGGGACCTCAGCCCTGCCTCCTGCACCCCTGGCTCTGGCTCTCTCAGCCCCTTCCATACCTGGGCAGGGTGGCAGGGGTGGCATCTGCTTGTAGACTTCTGGGTCTCCCCCTGCAGGCTGCCCCACAGGCTGAAGGAATAAAAATAAGGTGAAACCAGAGGCCCTAACCAGCCACTCCTATCCCAGGCCCAGTCCACCTCTATCAAAGCAACTTACCAGCGTAGCTCCCAGGTGGCTGGGGTTCTGGGCACTGGGCAGAGTGGGTCGAGCAGGCCCCTGGGGGGCTCCTTCCCGAAGCCTCATGTCCACCACCCCGCCAAGAGGGGGTTCCTTCCCCGGGAAGTCATTATAGTATTGATGATCAGGTGGCTCTTCCTCCTCCTCATCCCAAGCTGAGCCATCAAAGCCAGCCATCCTGAGAGGAGGAACAGGAGGGCGTGAGGAATGTGGGTGGGAGGATGGAGGGAGGGGAAAGAAACCATGGCCATGTATTAGGACTTCCTCTGAGGTAGGCCCTAGGCTGAGTGTTTTATATGATCATTTCATCCTCACCGCACCTCTATAAGGTAGGATTTCCTTTCCCAGTTTTTAAAAAACATATTCTTTTATTGACTTCAGAGAGGGAGAGAGAGAGAAACATCAATGATGAGAGAGAATCATTGAACGGCTGCCTCCTGCACGCCCCACCCCAGGGAGAGCCACAACCAAGCATGTGATCTCTTGGTTCATAGGCTGATGCTCAACCACTGAGCCACGCCTCATTTACAGATGAGGAAAAGGAGGGTCAGAGGTGAAAAGATTTGCTCAAGGTCTCCCACTGAAAGGTGGTTCACCTGAGATGCAAATTCAGATTTGACTTTAAAGTTCATGCCTTTGATCATTAAACTGTCTCCTAAGAGGGAGGAGAAACACTAAGCAGCAAGGGGAGGGGGGTGCTCCAGAATATTTTAATCTCCTCTGCTAAATACCTCCTGGCCGGAGGAAAGGTGAGGAACTAAGAAAAAGCCACCCTCCCTCACGCAAACTTTCAGAGGCTTCTAGGGGAAGGAAAACAAAGAACTAAGGATGGGGAAACAGCAAGAAAGAGGGACAGGCCAGATACGAGGCCGCTGGCAATGAAAAGCCCATCCAGCCAGGGACGGGCCACAACACGAAGCCCTGGGCTACAGCTCCACACGGGAAAGGAGGGGAGAGCTGGCCCTGCAGCAGGCAGGGCCTGAAAGGCTTTGCTGAGAGCCACAGGAAGCTTAAGAATAGCAGGAAGTGGGAAGCGGGGGGCACACAGGTTATTTCCTTCCCTGACCCACTCTGCGCTCCAGTGTGGGAATAGAGGACCTACTTTCCCAATCCTGGTCTGGGGCCCCGCGCCCTCCTCCCCGCTCACCTGTCATGGGGGGTGACCAGCTTGGGCGGGTTCCTGAGGTATTGTTTGAACCGTAGCTCGAAGGCCTGGCCGATGGTGCTGATGACGTCCTGAGCAAGCCCTTCGGGACACTCCAGGATGTGGCAGGCTAGGGGCACGGCAGAGACTGTCGGTGAGCTCTGAGGCGGGGTTGCTGGGAGGAGGTGCAGACAAGAGCCCTCCTCCTCCTCCTCCTCCTCAGGAGCCCCAGCTTAGCTCCCCCTGATCCTGCTCACTTGCCTCATGAGAGCGGGCCCCGCCCAGCGCTCCCCACCATGCCTCACCTCTCTGATTCACCGGGTCTTTGGCAACATAGGCGACATACTCAGCTGTGT